TAGGAACCGAAAGTCGGAGACCTCTTTGTAAAGGCAGAACAGTCCCTCCTGGCCCCAGTCTTTCCAATGCCATGTCCGTTCGATGGGAAATAAACAGGGTTTAGTGATCTAAGAGTGGGACCGGCACTTTCTGGGGGGACTGCTGACCTCGTCTGACACTGTGAAGGGGACGGGGTGGCTTAGTGCCCCGAGGCCTCCTCCCCGGCTCTCCCAGTGACATTTCTCTTTAGAAAAACATAAATTACAAGCTGTGTGTAGGCCCAGGTGAGCTGCCCTCCACAACGCTCCCTGAAGTCTTCCTGGATTCGGGGGCTCGGGGGGGCAGAGGTCGGCCACTTGGGGGCCTATGGGAAATCCAGGCCCGGTTTGGGATGGGACGTCAGCTCACCGATGCGACGAAAGCCCGCGTGCCTGCTGCAGTCACCTGTTGCTATGTAACCAAGGCCCCCAAACCCAGCGGCTTGAACAACTGAGGTTTATTATCTCACAGCAGCGGTTCTCAACCTTCTGGCCCTTTAAATACAGTTCCTCACGTGGTGACCCAACCATAACATTATTTTCGTGGCTACTTCATCACTGTCATGTTGCTACTGTGATGAATCGTCATGTAAATATCTGATATGCAGGATGGTCTTAGGCGACCCCTGTGAAAGGGTCGTCTGGCCGCCAAAGGGGTTGTGACCCACAGGTTGAGAACTGCTGGTAAACTGTGGGTGGGCCCTGGCCAGTGTGGCTCAGTTGCTTGGGCGTCAACTAAAATGGTGATGGTCCGGCTGGGGCTGGATCCCTGGCCGTGGCGTGCAGGAGGCAGCTAATGGGTGTTCTGCTCTCGCATGGTTGTTTCTCTTTCTCTCCTCCCTTTCACTCTCTCTGAACATCAGTGGGAAAAACAACCTTGGGAAAATCACTGCTCACCAACAGCGCGAGCCTTCTCTCCTCCGCCACACCGGTGCCTGCGTTTCCCAGACCCCTTTGCAGTCGGCTGGGGCCACGGGACAAGTTCTGGCCAAGGGGCCTCCTGAGCCAGCCCAGGACTTGCTGGTTTGTCGCACGCACCCTCTCCCTCCACTGCAGTGAACTCTGGGTTTGGGCTGGGATTTAAGTAGCTTGGAACGTACCGCCCCCCGGGGGAGAAGGGTCCAGAAAGAAGCCTGCAGGCTCTGACACCTCCCTGCCCATCTGCCCTGGGGCTCCTGACACCCCAGGCTGGGGACGATCGGGAAGGTGGGTGCCATTGGCAGACGCGAAGGTTGGCGTGCAGAACTGAGCCAGATGTGGCTGGTGCAGGCCCTTAGCACCTGGGCAAGCGGGGCTCCGCGCACCCCGAGATCTGGAGCAGGGACTGTGCCTGGCGCCTCCACACCCAGGGCAGTGCTGGGCACAGACAGGCGCTGGGCACGAGCGCTCTAAACTGACCTCGTATCCCGGGCACCCAGGGCACACTTGTGGCTGGATGGCGCGGAGATCCCAGGGCTCCTGGGGGCGCCAGGGCCCAGGGCAGGGCAGCCACACCGTCTAACCTGCAGTGTTAGCCACACTGGCTCCTGAAACTTGGACATGTACACCCTAGCTCCCCAGTCACACGGCCACACGTGTGCTACCGTATTGGACAGCGTGGGTACGGAAGTCCCATCATCACAGGGCGTCCTCGGGCCTAGCTGTTCTGGAAGCACCGAGGCCTTGAGAAGACTCGGGGTGAGCAGTGTCCACCACCAACGACCCCAGTGGCACCCCCAGGTCAGGGCACTGGCCTGGGACCGGCAGCCTCCCAGGTGTGCCACCGGGAGAGGGCAGCGGCAATGACCAGATAAAGAAGAACCTGGTGGCACCCAGCAGGTGTGAAGAGACAAGTAGCCCTGACTGGTTTGGCTCAGTGGATAGAGTGTCAGCCTGCAGACTGAAGGGTTCCGGGTTCGATTCCGGTCAAGGGCATGTACCTCGGTTGTGGGCACATCCCCAGTGGGAGATGTGCAGGAGGCAGCTAATCGATGTTTCTCTCTCATCAATGTTTCTAACTCTCTATCCCTCTCCTCTCCTCTCTGTAAAAAATCAATAAAATATATTTTTTAAAAAAAGAGAGAGAGAGACAAGCAGTGTGGCCGTGACAAGAGGGACAGACACCAGGACCCCACGCAGTAGGGTGGCGAGTGGGGCTGTAGAGGGTAGCCACTGGGAGCCTGGCATGATCCTGTGGATGTTTTCAAATGTCGCTCTAGCCCTGGCTCAGTGGATAGAGTGTCAGCCTTTGGACTGAAGGGTCCTGGGTTTGATTCCTGTCAGGGCACATGCCAGGTTGCTGGCTTGATCCCCAGTGGGGGGCGTGCAGGAGGCAGCCCATCCATGATTCTCTGTCATCATTGATGTTTCTCTCTCTCCCTCTCCTTCTCCCTTCCTCTCTGAAATCAGTAAACATATATTTAAAAAAAGTCACCTAGAGCCCGGCCGAGCCCCCTGGAGCAAGCAGGGGTCCCAGGCCTGTGGCCTCCCCACATCTCACCTCTTGGTCCAGCCCCTAATGGCATCCCCCACGCTATGCCCACGCCCAGTGCCAGCTCTCGGGGCGACCCTCTCCCCACACACCATCAGAGAAGGGCCCGCGTGTCTAAGAAGCGCTTGGCACTCACAGGTAGAACACACCGTCCTTTATTTCCCAGGTTCCCGGCCCACAGCGCACGCATGAGACGGGGATTTCCAGTCGCTTGGGCTCAGCTCACTAAGTGGACGGAAGCGCGTTAGGTGCTAGTTTCCCTTCCCTGGCCGGCCGGGCTGGCACGGAGCCGGGCGCCACAGCCTGGCGTGTGCGGGGCTGGGAGGAAGCTGAGCGAGGCTGACTCAGGGGCGGGACGGCCAGGACACACGGG